TAACACGACCAACATGTCAGGCTAACAATCAACATATACAGAATGGAACCGAAAACCATGACCACGAAACCGTGTATCGAACCGTGGATTTTGTGAACCGTTCCACCCCTAGCAAATAGAAATGGAATGGGGGTTGTTTGGCTTCTTTTGTTAGCCTGCAACGCCCCATACCTGTCTATGTCTCTGAAAGGGTCGTTAAAGGGAATTATTGGCCTGGCTAGATAGGCGAGGTCCTCCTGCGATGATAGCGGGGAGGGGTTATCTCTATTGCTCTTGAATAAAGGCGCAATATAAGTACATACCATTTACCATTGTAGGTTTTTGAAAGCTGAAAGTTGAGTCCACCTGCTCTGTTTAAGGTTGGCTTTTCTTTCTTAACATAGATTGCTTCCTTTACGCCCCTCTCAAACCACCTATTTTCTTAGGAAGAAGAGAAAGAAAATAGGTGGTTTGAGAGGGGAGTAAAGGAAGCCTATGTTAAGAAAGAAAAACCAAGTTCCCGAGCCTGTCGGTCTAATATTTCTAAAAGCATACTGCCTTTATGAGAACATTCTGGAATTTCTTTCAAAACATCCACTTTTCTTTTACTCCCCAGTTTTTTTTTTTTATTCCAGGGGTTACAGTATTAAAAGTCTTTTACTACAGATGATTTACAGAAAAAATGAATAAATAAAAGCAGATTTGTTTCTAAATGTTCCTACACGCCTCCATTCAGTAGTGATAAATGCCTTTTCTCTGTGTTTTGCTTGCTGTGTAGAAGGGGAACGCCTGGATGCCAAGATGAAGCGCTTGGAGGCGAAATACACGCCGCTGCACATGGTTCCTCTCATCGAGCGCCTCGGAACACCTCAGGTAACACCAGCGTGAACATTTCATGAGGGAAAACCTTCTTTCCAGAATGGACATCATCTCACCATTGTCAGTGACATGACAGGAGGATTATTGCTCTTTTTCTTTTAGCAAATAGCCATTGCACGTGAGGGAGACCTCCTGACCAAAGAGAGGCTGTGCTGCGGCTTGTCCATGTTTGAGGTCATCCTCACACGTGTGCGTGGCTTCTTGGACGACCCCATCTGGCGTGGCCCGCTGCCCAGTAATGGTGTGATGCACGTGGACGAATGTGTTGAGTTTCACCGCCTCTGGAGCGCCATGCAGTTTGTTTACTGCATCCCTGTGGGAGCCCATGAGTTCACTGTGGAGTAAGTGGAGAATCGGCTCTCCTCTCTGCTCAACCAACAGACCAGCTGAGTAATTTTCCTTCCTTCCTCCAGGCAGTGCTTTGGAGATGGTCTCCATTGGGCGGGCTGCATGATTATCGCCCTACTGGGACAACAGAGACGATTTGACATCCTGGACTTCAGCTATCACCTGCTCAAGGTGCAGAAGCACGACGGCAAGGATGAGATCATAAAGAGTGTGGTGAGTAGCTGACCTTGACTCTCCTTCATTCAGTATCAGCATTTAAACAGAAGTCTGTGGACAGTGTGAGCGAAATTATTTTCTGATGGACCAGTCGGTAATTGGGGCTAGTTCTGCTGACTGGTACATTTCTCAGTCAGTCTTTTGATTTTATTTATTACTCGATTCACACATTTCAGCGTTCAGATGAGATGTGTCTGCATGTTTGGGAATGAAATGTACCGTTAAAGAAAATGAACACATTTGGCCCACTAGCAGTTTTGAAGAGAGCACATCCAGCCAGTCAGAGAAACAGGACTACACTGGAAAACAGGCCGATCTCCAACAT